GATGGCATTGAGAGGTACGTGTATTAGTTGTACCTTTTACGAATCGGATATATAAGTGAAGTAATTAATAGAGTTTAGTGCGAAGATATCAGACATATTTCGCAAGCTTGCCAAGCTGTATTATGAGCTCCAAAACAAAGCATGATAACAGTAAAGCGTAAGCCAGCAGCGTGGTTGCCAGTTGACATCGATTAAATATAAGCTTAATTTACAGGGTTGTCTTAAGAGGACGGGGTTGGGGATTTCCCCCGGCTACTTTCAACGTGACCCCCAGCTACTTTCATAGGGAAATAGACGAGAAATAGAACCAAGAGAAATCCCTTGCTGTTTTATTCCCTTCCTACTTGTTGTATTTACCAAGCAACTTGAAATCTTAGTGACATCTCTGATTTATTTAAACCGCACAAAAAACTTTTAGGTGTAGAAAGGAAACTTTGAGGGTAAAAAGGAAATGTGAAAAAATATCAAGCTTGCTTAGGATTTAAAGCTGTCTTAAGTTATTTGTGTCATGTTGATTTTTGTAACTGCTCTTATTTTTTCTGTGGGTGGTTTCACCGTGGCTTGCTCCCTTGTATTTCATTTGAGGTTATTGATTCATTACATCTGATCTAGATTCTACATGTATCTGCAGCAGAAGTATTTCCGTTCCTAGTATTCTGCTTTGTCCTAACATTGATGATTTTTTGTAGGCTGTTTGCATTGTGTGGGCATCCATACCACCCCCCCCCCCCAAAGGTCAACGGAAATTCTGAGGGAGGGGGGGTCTAAATAGAGATAATTCCGTGGGTTTGGGGTGTGGCCTCTCGAGTTTACTCTTCCCGGGGCTCAGAGTAAGATTGATGAGCAAGCTATTAGTTCGTTTACTGTTAATCGAGATTTCAAAGGACATGGGGGGTCTAAATAGAGATAATTCCGTGGGTTTGGGGTGTGGCCTCTCGAGTTTACTCTTCCCGGGGCTCAGAGTAAGATTGATGAGCAAGCTATTAGTTCGTTTACTGTTAATCGAGATTTCAAAGGACACAGTGTTTTTCATCAGCGATCTTTTATTTGAGTTCGGTTGAGTGTATTTTTCACGGCTTGCACAATAGTTTATGTAACAATTGTCGTCAGCTCAAGAATAAAATGATGAGAGTTCTAGGGGGTGGGCAGGTTATGACAAGCACCCCTTGAATGTAAATTCCAGGGGGTGGGGGGTATGGATATTTTTTGGAACTGCACATTCCATTTAATAACCAGCCACCTCTACCCTCGTGGCAGTTACGTTGACGAAATAATAAAAAAATCTGAATTTTTCCTCAATGTACGGGAAAAATGTATTGATGCACATACATATGTGTCAACTCTCCTGGATCTTTGAGCTTTTCTTGAATTTGAGCCCATTTAATTGACACTTTGATGTTTTGGATCTATATTAGGCTTTTGCTGGTGAAGATTATTTCATATTTACAGTCATAAGAGCACCTTTTGATGCTCTTTACCTCATGTAAGACATTGTATAATGTCCTGAGCTGGGTGCGTGAAAATTAAGTGGAATGACCCTGTGTATCATATGTAGCATGGTTTTACTTATCATCATATTTCTACCATATGTTGTGGCCACCTTAGTAATTTTTGGTTTTCAAAGCAGCAACATGACACCTTGGATAAGCATGTATCTTTTGGTGTTTGTTGAAACATGCATAGCATCAAATAGACTCTGTGGTCTGTTTTTAACTCATAGCAAACTTCACTATTTGTACGTTGTGTCAGCCTCGTTGCGTTGTGTGTCATTTGAAAGGCATGTTGGAACAAATTGGTAGTCTAGGACGCCAAAAAGAATTTAAAAGGTTTTCCAAATGTAAACAAAATGTTACTTTTTTACAAGGCTGCCAATCCAATTTCACTTTGCGTGGTATATGCAATTAATAGGCGGGGGATTGAACAAACAGGAAGTGTTTTTGGTCTATTTTCTTGCACTTATTAGCTAAGGAAATACCCAGTCCCCGGCCGTTAGTAACAGCGCTGCTTTTATAGTCTAAAGATGATTATAGTAGTTTTTTTGTGGCTAAAATTTCAAAATATAGGCAACGCTTTAATGCATTTTTGACTATTATTGAAGAAAAAGGTTAATTGTTTGCGTCCACATCCACAGGTAAGATGCAATATAGACGTAAAAAACTTTTTAAATCCAGGCGGTGTAAAAAAGCCCTTTGCCAGGCTGGAAATCTGAAAGTATGTGAAAGAAGACTAACTGGTGAGAAGCCATTGAAGTGCAAGCAATGTAACAAGGCCTTTAGCAAGGCAAGAAATTTAAAAGTACATGAAAGAATACACACTGGTGAGAAGTCTTTTAAGTGCAAGCAATGTAACAAGGCCTTTAGCCAGGCAGGAAGTCTGAAAAGACATGAGAGAACACATAGTGGTGAGAAGCTGTTTAAGTGCAAGCAGTGTAACAAGGCCTTTAGCCAGGCAGGAAGTCTGAAAAAACATGAAAGAAAACACACTGGTGAGAAGCCTTTCAAGTGCAAGCATTGTGAGAAGGCGTTTCGCTGGCCACAATATGCGAAAGAACATGAACGAATACACACGGGTGAGAAACCTTTCAAGTGCAGTCAGTGTAACATGGCCTTTCGTTGGAGGCAAGTTCTTAAAGCACACGAAGAAAGACACCGTTGTTGGATTTGTCTTAGGATGATTACGACCAAGCCGCTGCTTCGTCAACATTATGATGACCATATGAGGTTACTGGACCTAACGTCGTAAAATTAATAAACGTTCTCAACATTGTGTGACTTAACTTTGTATAATGATTTATTAATATTCCCTTTTAAATTTAAGCTAATCAACAAGAAGTCAAATTAATTTGGATCTGGGTAATTTTCCCGATTGCTTAAAGGAATTTTCCTAATTGTTTAAAGTGTTAATGTTCTTTCCAGTTGATAGCATGTTAGAACCGATTCTCAACAGTAAATAGGGGTTATCAAAAATGTAGTTGCTTGGTTTCAGTTAACGCGAAAATTTAAGGAAAATTTTATTAGAAGGCTATTGTTCAAGGTTTGTAGAAAGTGGAGTGTGAAAAAAGGTTCCACACAAAACACTATTTAAGTTTTGTCAAAAGTGGGAAGTTTTTTCAAGCAGGAGTCGAACCAGGATTTTTTTAAAGAAAAGTTCAAAAGTTTTGCTTGTTATAGCGAATCATTTACACCGTTTACCGCCATTACAAGTTAATTTCTGGTAAGCGCGCGACCCTTGTATTGTCGTAGTTTCAGTTTCAGTTTCTGGTTCTATTGGTGCATTTAGTGTTGGCAGACTCCTTGGACACTTAAGCTGTTTTCTGTAAATAGACGAGGAAAGAGTTTCTTAACATTCACAGTCTAGCGTAAATTTTTGTGGTTTCGATTTTTTCGATTTTTTTCAGTTTCTTGTTCGATTGATGCTTTTAGGGATTGAAGACCCTCAGGAACCTCCTGTTTTGTTTTCGTTGAAAAAGGTAACAAGACAGTTCTTATGGTGTCAATCATTTGCAAAAAGTTTATTTTTGGAACCTTCTTGTTTTCGGCTCATAAAGTTTGGCCGAAGCACAGCGAAGCAAACCAAACATAAATTGCGGATCTGTTGTACGAGAGACTAATGGTTTGAAGATATACTGCGTTGTGTGTGAGAACGTTCTCTGTTGACGAGTGGCCTTTAAAGGAAATTTAAAAGTGTAACAAAATGATTGTAGCGATGAGGCCCGACGGAAGTGAGAGTTATTCGTTACTCGCAAAGCAGCTATTTGCGTGGCCTTATCCATATAATAAGTTGAGTTTTTTGGCATTCCTTATTAACCGTTATAGTGTTGAGGCAGTTCTATTTATCGGTCATTTTCCCAGTAATCACATCATTATAGATGATTCTGATCACTGGGGTCATTATATTAGTGGTTAAATTTTGAGGCAGCATTGTCGTTAATATTTTTTTTTATATTTAGGAGCGGTGTTAGGTTTGGAACTTTGACGCTTAAAATTTTTATTTGTACTGTTATCTTGTAGACGTGTGTGTGGTTCCGTTTTTGAGCCTGTTTTTGCTTATGTTTATTGATATGCTCATTTTGTGCAAAAATGGAAAATACAGTGTTTGGTTTGAAGTAAAATGCTCTCTAGACTATTATGTTTTACATATTAGACAGCCTAGAAAGTGTTAATATTTTCGCCACGAGTGTGCGTCGGAAATGGGTTTCATTTTTTTTTTATCGTCAAAGGCTTGCTTATTTTCCTGTCCCCGGTTGTCCAAACGTTTGATCGCGGTGCTTTTTTCGAGACAAATCACTACCCAGCGGATAAATATTCTGGGAAAAAATCACGTTATGCGCTAGAGAGATCTTTATACAATGGATAGGGCTTGAACGCTAGGGCCTAAAGTGATCATTGAATTCATTTAAATTAATCTTACAACCTTGGCCGTTGTTTTTACAGTGCTAGGAGTCTTTAGGATATATTATCGGTTAGAACCCCATCCAGTTCCTTACTCCACCCGAAAAGAGGTTTAAATACCGAACAAATGTTGTACTTTGCCTCGTCGTCGCATTTGCCAGCAGAAACACGTACGGATTGTATTTACATCGATCTTGCATTACCGATGGACTTGACAGTCGTCTCTTACACGTTAGCTGTCAGCAACTATAGTTGCGGTTGGTTGAACTTGAAAATCATACCTACCATTTGCCAGTTTCCCTAAGCTAATACTTTTCTTTGTAAATATTTTAGGTTTTAAGCTTAAAACGCCCGTAAAAACGATAGCGCGCCACATCAAACAACAAATTTGCATCCTTCGTTTGAAATCTAATCAGTTTAGGGTGCGTTTCTTTTCTAAAATCCGAGATCAGATCAAAAATCCAATAGGATTTTTCGTTGAGAAAAGAAACAATGTATCCAAAATAGGGATTATTTTTCATTCATTTCCATAGAAACGACCTACCATATCGACAGTATCCTGGAGACGGAATAACACGGCTGCTGACAAGGTTGGATCCTTGAGGCATCATGAAGGAAGGCAGACGTGCGATTCTGAGCTCGCGAGTTATTGGACTTGTACTTATTTTGTGTCTTGTTCATACCTTGAGGAAAGATAAACAAAATTATTCTTTTACCAGCGAGTACTTTGGTCTATGTTTCCCGCATTCCTCGTCGGTTAAAGAGGTAAACTGGGATACGAGACACTGTACAAAATGGCGGACACACGTGCATGTCACTATCAGTATGAGAGTGAAACGAGCAAGCGCTACTACAGCCTACTACGCCAACTCAACCTCTACCTTTAGACCTGTTATACAACTGCTACATGATGTGGAACTTAACCCTGGACCTGCAAACTGCTCTAGTGGAGACAAGTCAGAAAAGTCAAATGGCAATGTTAAAATCGCACATCTTAATGTTCGCTCGCTCAAATGCCGTGAGCATTTCGTTCTTGTAAAGAATGCGGTACTGGAAAATAAGTTTGATATATTTACCGTATCCGAAACATGGCTCAACAGTTCAGTTACGGATTTGGAGATAGAAATCCCTGGCTATGTTATCTACCGAATCGACCGACAGGCGAGGGTTGGCGGTGGAGTATGTGCTTATGTCTCACGAAATTACAGGACGGAGTACTTGAGTGACATTTCTCTTATCACGGCCTCTGGCTTCCATCAACTGTGGCTAAAAATCCACGTCAGAAACATGAAGTCCTTCCTTGTCTGTACAACCTATAGACCACCGGACACTTCTTTATCTTGTTTCGATTCAGATCTTACAGAGAACTTTATTTATGCCTCGTCGTTTAATGTTCCAATTTATCTATTAGGTGATTTGAACTGCAGACTTGAGAATAGCGACGATCCTGGAGCTAAAGCCCTTGTTAACTTTTGCCGTTCCTATAACTTGTCAATATTGATCAACACACCAACACGAGTTACAGAGACTTCGAAATC